TAGTTTTATATATATATTTTTTATTTGTTGTACTATTTTTTCACTATAAACGTCCCGAAAAATAAAAAATAAACGGTTAAAATGGTCTGTTTACATTTGAAGGACGGCTCAAGGTCAAGACAACAATGAAACTGCAGAACAAATATTTCACTTTTTTAAAAATTATTGTACTTCTAAAATTTTGAATTTTAAAGTAAAATAAAAATAACATTAATTATAAATGTATATTTAAACTATTGTTTTAAATTGAAGTAATAAGTAATAAAACATCGTTCCACGTTCATTTGCGTTCATTCGAATTGCTTTGAATCATTCCCCACGTGTAGACGCGGTAGCGCGTCACCCGCTTTTTCGAAAAACGCTTATATTTTCGAAACTTGTGAATGAATTAGTTTGCAAATTTCCAGAAAACTTCCTTATATTATAATAAACAAATGTCTCACTGAAAGTTTTTTCAACTTCAAAGTTCCCCACAGACTTTTTTTCGCCAAAGGTAAGAAAACCCTATTACCGACCGTTCACTATTTACAATTAATTGTTATTAAGTATTAACAAATTAATGATTTTTCAATTTTTTTTTATTTCGTAGTCTTCTATGTACCCTAATAAGTGTGCGTACCAAATATAAAGTGATTTCATTAATATTTGTCAAAGATACGACGATTTATGTTACAAAATTTAATTAAATTGGTAAAAAAAAATTTTTTAGTTTTTTCCATTTATTATCTACAGTTTTTATCCTATAAAAAAAAGTCAAAGGAAAAAAAGATGCGCATTTCTGTTTTCTACAAAAAAGTATAATTTAAAAATCAAAATTTCGAATTTCAATTTTTTTAACATTTTGGGTCGCTTGACTAGCAATAGCGTGTGCAGTGGAGCGCTCGGCGAATTCTTTTTCCCGGCTCCTCAATTAGAAAAACTCTATTTTTAATTATTCTATTTATTTATTTCTATTTTTAATTATTGAATTAAGAAAACATTTTGAAAATAATTGAATTCTTGTGGTGAATATAATTGAATTATTGTTATTTATAGAAAGAATGGAACTTTTACAGTGAATTTTATTAAAATTCCTGAAATTAATTTAATTTTATCGAAGAATTTTGCTATTCATTTTTAAAGATATATTAAAATGTTGACAGTTTTTTTTATATTTTTTAAAAATAATTGAATTTTTGTGAAGAATTTCATTACTTTTTAAAAACATTGAATTGTTTTTTTTAGAATTTTATGGAAATTTATAATAATAGTTGAATTATTGTGAAGAATATTTTTTAAAAAAAATATTCAAAAGAATTTAATAAATCTGAAGAATGTTTCTATTTATGGAAATAATTGAATTCTTGAGAAGAATTTTTTTACAGTTTCTAGAAATAATTGAATTCTTTCGACGAATTTTAATAAAATTTTTAAGAATAATTACATTTTTCAAGTTTTACTATTTATGAAAATAATTGAATGTAATGCGAAGAAATTTTTAAAAATAAAATTATAATTACAGTGACTAAATTCCCTGGATTATTTTGGAAAAATTTAAATAAAATTCTTTAAAGGAAGTAAATTATTTTCAATAGATTGTAAAGAAATGTCAATCATATAAAAAATTTTCTATCATTTGTTTATAATAATTCAATTATCTTGAAACAACAGAATTAAAAAATTTAAAAAATCTTATTTTTTAAAATTTTCAAAAAAACTTTACAAAAATTTAAATTTATTAAAAATTTTAAAGTGTTTTTCTTTTTTTAAATTAACTAATAAAAATTTTAATTATGTATTAATCTTCGCACCAAGAAACATGAATACATTAGAATGTGACTCCTTATAAAATTTAATTATTTATCGATTATTAAATTAAAATAGGGGAGACTGGGGTAAACCCGCGCACAGGGTAAACCCGCTTACTAGCGATTTGACGCTATGAACTCAACTTAAGATGGAAATATTGGAACTGTGAATAGTACTTAACATTCAACTTATATTAACGAACTTTCGTTTAGTTTCATGAATTCAACATAGAATCAGAGACGATCAAATGTTTTTAGAGGTGTCAGAAAAAAAACGTATTTTGGATTTTTAAGTTTTTCGATCATTAATTTTGAGTATTAATTTATCTGGCAAATTTTTTTTGTTGACATTGGATGTCCTTCTTCGAAGTACATATATAGTTTTGTCTTATTTTAAAAAGATTTAATTAAATTTATTCTGAAATGTGAGGAATACATCCATAGTTGTAATTCATGAAATCTATGTTCATTATTTATTAAACCAATTTGTTGTTTATAGAATTGTTTATATAACTTATAAATTATCAATAATAAATCATACTTAAGACGAAAATAAGACGAACTTTAATATTTAAAAAATAAAACGATTCCGTCTTGAAAAGATAAAGTGAGCGGGTTTACCCTGGAAAATTGTGATTTTGAAATTTGGTATATGTTTATTAAAAAGTTTCTCTAAGTAAAACTAAAAAAGATAAATCAAAAACTCTTTTTTATTTTTTTAGTAGAAATCATAAGCTTTCAAATGATATAAATTAACTTGGATTTAGAGAATAATTTCCTAGATTTTAGCCGATCTGAAAAAAAGTGAGCGGGTTTACCCCAGTCTCCCCTACTTTGAAAATTCGATTTGTTAAAAGTTTTTAATGAAATTCTTTAATAAATGTTACTATTTTCAGTTGTATTTCACGAATTTTCTTATAATTCGATAATTTTTTTTAATTATTTATTTACAAACTATATTTAAATCAGTGACTGATTTTTTACTATCAAATTAATTGTTTTTAACTATTTAAATTTTATTTTAAATTTAGAGAACAGTATAAATATCTACAAAAATTGAAATAAAAAGCGATTTTTTGAACACAAATTAAAATAATAAAATTTTTTCTAATTTGGTGAGAAAATTCCTGGTTTGGAATAAAATTTCTGGCATATTCCCGGTTTTTCACGGTCAATATATGTATGTATACGACTTTTTTTTTGTCACCGAGGCTACTATTTCCAGCTTTTTTTTGGTCATCTAGGCTACTATTTCCTACTTTTTTTTGTCGTCGAGGCTACTTTTTCCTACTTTTTTTAAACTCATAATTGAGTGCGAAGCCTGTTAACTGTATCGAAAGTAATTTTCGATAACTTTGAGGCTTATTTGTTTTAGTGCTGTGTTGTATTAAAGAATGCTCTTAAAGTATTATTTGCAGATATTTGCATTTTATGAAATAGTCAGAAGCATAATTTGATTAGAGCGTAAATGTCATTTGTTTTATTAGTGATTCAGCTTCATATTTCGGTGGTTATTCAATAAATATGTATTCGATATTTCCTTGTAAAAGATAAAGTGAAATGTAAGACTTTTAATGTTAATATTTTTATTAAACATTTTTAGGCAAGAATTTAATATAATCTGATGTGAATAGAGAAAAATCCTTAATGAATATTATTTTATAAGGACAAATGTTTTAAATAAGTTGTAATTTGAGTTTATTTGTCAATACTGCTAAAAATTGGAATCTAGTTTTACCCTTTCTTTTTTAACATTAATGTTTTTATGAAGTAAGGTTCATGTTTATCTATAGAAGCAAACCGAATATTTACAAGTAATTTTATTTATATTGTTAATTTTTTATGCTGTGATCTTTTTTTCTGACAAACGATATTCAATAAAATTTACCTATTATATAACACTTACAACATTTAAAATCTATAAAATTTTACCAAAAAACCCTATTTCTGATATAGTAAACATTTATAAAGCATGCATATTTTGTAGTTATACCTATGTATTTATTTTCCGTTACTATGTGCGTCACTTAATAACTCTAAGTGCATCCCTTGTAACATTGAGAAAAACCCATTTAAACTCTATATTAGAGCTGTGCAAAATAATTCGAACCGAACTGTTCGAATTTTTTCACCTAGTTCGAATGTCGAAAATTTGACATTCGAACTAGCCTAGTTCGAATGTCGAAAAACCGACATTCGAACTAGCCCAGTTCGGATGTCGAATATTCGACATTCGAGTTACTACAAAATTCGAACCGAACCGAGTTGTGTTCGGTTTTAGTACGCTAAAATGTCGAATTCTAAAATTCGACATTTCAGTCGCTCAGTTCGAATGTCGAATATTCGACATTCGAACTAGCCCAGTTCGGATGTCGAATATTCGACATTCGAACTAGCCCAGTTCGGATGTCGAATATTCGACATTCGACATTTCGGCGCCCCAAACCGAACAAAACTCGGTTCGGTTCGAATTTTGCACAGCTCTATTCTATATCCCATTTAATGAAGCAATAAGTAAAATAAGCTATGATACACTTTTTTCTATGTTCTATGTTTACTATTATGTTTTTTATATGTACCCTTTATTTTTAATTAAACGATTATTATATAGTTCGTTTATGATATTTATAGCAAAATAAAAAAATTGAAGCTTTCTTATGCTTAACCGAAACCCAACCTGTTGGAGCTAAGTTTTGTTTCTAGTATTTTTGGTGTTTTGCTTCATAACATTTTATTTTCTTGAAAATAATATGCACATTTAACTTGTCCTTTAAATTTCGACTAAGATTCATCCTTTTGTATTGGACCAAATGAATTTATTTTTCCTCAATAATTGCTTTCACTAAAATAATCCATTTTCATCCTCTGACATCAACTTTTGAATTTCAGGTTGACAAAAATGTTCTTCTGTATGCATGGCAATAATCCTGTTGTGCAAAAATTTTGCTGAGTAAGAGTGTTTAATGTCATTGTCTTCTTTTTCTTCTCCATGTTTATAGTACCTGTTTTCTTTTCGAATTTGTATACTTCTTCATTTTTATTTCGTTTTTTCTATTATTGAATATGAACTATCTATGACTGTGATATTCTTAGGATTAGTCTGTTCATTATTTAAAAGTTCTTCACTCTTCTCAATTATTTGTTTATTTCTTTTTTGATATGATTTTATTTCATTTAGTTCATGGATAACTTTAGATTTCAAAATATAATTTTTTAGTAAGAAGTTTCCTTATGAGGATAGGTATAATTTTTTAATTGGTTTCTTTTCTCTAACTCCTTTGCAGATTTGCTTCTTTTCGAATCAGTATTTTCTGAAGTCTCCTCTTTATTTTTTTTACCGCCTTCAAACATTTTGTTGTCCAGAAAATAATTTTGGTTTTTCACTTTCATCAAATCCACTTTTATAATACAATCCCTGATTCTATCTACTACTTTATTGTCTGGAAGTTTTTTATTGATACTGATATTCTCTTCGGTAGTATCTATAATGAGATTCATATACAACGCCGTTTGTTCTTTTTCTGAAGGTTCCTCTGGATTATGATTTACTTTCTCGTCACTTGATTTTTCGTCTTCTGTTTGAAGATGTGGTTCAGTTACGGAGTGTGATTCATTATGATCCAATTGTTTCTTATCCTTTAAAAGGTTTTGGTTTCTGGTCGAATCCTTAAATATAATTGGTGGTATTATGAAATCATGATCATATGTTTTTTTACTTTTAGATCTGGTTTCTATGAAATCATTTGTTTCAAAATTGTCATTTACAAAATGTGGTTTCTCACAGTTCATATACGATTTATCATAGTTAGTGCATCTATACTCTCTATGTTCCTCTCTTCCGTAATCATCCTGTATGTTGTTGTATCTTCTACATTCGTCTCTGAGAAAAAAACTTTCTTCTTCTTCGATAAATCTGTGCTGTAAATTTCTGGATTCAATGTTATATTCTTGCAAATTCTGATCCCTGTTGTAAAAATTTTCTCTTCCATAACCTTCCGATGTCATGTCAATATTTTGACAATGTTCGTCAAAATTCGTGTTCCTATTTTGGTTATTAAATTCATTATGACCATGATGCCTTCTATCAAATCGTTGCCTTTTTCGTTGGTTCCCTCTTCGCCGCTGTGGGTTACTTGGTTGTCCATATGTATTCGATGCATCTAGTTCATACACGTTACGTTGGTTTTTCGCATCTTGGTGCATGTACCGATTCTCATAATTTATTTGTGGTTTAATGTAATTAAAGTAATTAAAATCTCGATCATAATCACTTTCTTTTATCCTGTGACCATCCTGCCTAATGTTATAATTATTTTGGTATTGATTTGTGTAGCATTGATCTCTAACATTATTTTTATGATTTCTTACTTCAAAATTATACCCCTCCGATTTCCATCTCTCTATGCGGTCTTCCCGTAACATTACTTCATACACTGATATCATTTTGCTTTAATATATTTAAAACATAAGCAATGAATAGTTATTGATTTGTTTAACTAATATTTAAATGGAACTGTTTCATAATGTTTATAATAGAAATGGTTAATGCTAAATAAATACTTAATAAAAATAAATTTTTTGCATTTTTTATACTGTATCAATTTATGAATTGTTTTTTGAATTTAAAGAAACATTTAACTAAGAAAAATATATATTTATCAATTTTATTCAAAATAATTTCAAATAAATACTAATTTATTAAATTTTTTTAAAATAAAAAATGACACCAGTTTTGTTAGAGATAAATTTATATATATTGTTCCCTTTAATTCTTGCTGGTTATGACCAACCTTTACTTTAAAATTCTACCCCGTTTAACTCGTCAGCATTCTTCCTCAATCTCGAAATTATTTTATATTTTTTTGATGGCTTAAGGTATATTTATCTCAATTTATGCCAATAATTGTTATTCATTAATATTTAGTAAATTGATTTTTATAAGTCAAAAAAATTTATTTGGTTTTCTTATTTAAAACTTAAATATTTATTTTAAAAAAAAATTTTTAATTTTTTTTATAATGAACAATTTACTTATTTTATTTATATTCAATCCTTATATTAAAAAATATTTACTTAGAAAAATAACTATTTTCAACCTGTATAAATTTTTATACTTTCAATAAAATATAAAAAAAAATCCCACCGCTGCCACCAGTTTATTAAGTATGAATTCGATTATTCTGATTAATATTATTAAAGAAAATGTATATATTAAGCGAATTCAGGCTTAACTGTATCGAAAGTAATTTTCGATAAGTTAAATTAAAAGACTTAATATTTATTCAACCCAAGATAAACGTTAAATTCTTCAAAAAATAATTATTATTTTTGAAAAGTAGAGGATCCCCTTTTTAAGTGTACTATTAATTCAGTACCTCCGATTAGACGGTATTTTATATTGAAAAGACATAAAAAGGAAAAGATTGTAATTAGTTGTAGACTGTAATGAGACACTTCAGTTATATGAGTAGTATAAATATAAGTAAATTTATTTAATTCATAAAACTTAAAAATTAATAGAAAAATCGTACAATAAAGAAATGTAAACTACTGAAATGGTATTTCAATAGTGAAAATTAAAAATTTAATGATTATAAGTAAAATTTCTTAAATAAAATAATAAAATAGAATTTTGACAATAAGAAGTATAATTTCAGTGCAAGTTAAAGTATAAGAAATTCAAAATAAGGTCAATTGAGTACAAATGTACTGAGATATACACCTCAATATGAAAAAGGCTCAGCTGACTCAAGGCCAAGGTTAAGAGAGAGAAAAGAAAATTTAATATTTTAAAAGTATAAAATTAATTTTGAATTAGAATAAATATTATAAAAATAAATTTTAAAAATTTAACATAATGTTAATTTTCTATTTAAACTGTATATTTTGTTTTATATAAATAATATTATTTTTGTTAATTAAATTATTAAATTATTTAATGGAGATAAGTTATAATAAATAAAGTAATAGTAAAATTTATATCAATAAATAGCTAAAAATTAGTAGATATTATTAGGAAAATTTAAAATAATTATAAGTTTATTATTTAAAGAATTATTTAAATTAAAAGAAATAAAATAAATTCATAGAGAAAAGTGATTGACAGCTAAACAATGGCATTGTTCTCGGAAAACATTAGACACGTTGGCGACCAGAAAGAGAGAAAATAGATCTCTATCCTCATTTGAAAATTTAAATACTATTGGCGAGAAAAATTAGACGCTTTCCAAAAAGCAAAGACTGGGACAAAATTGGCGGTAAGAAATGCATGGCAAAAATTAGCGTTCCTAAAGGGTAGGGGAAAGCTCTGAATTAGTCAATCAAACGAAAGAGTTTTACGTACACTAATCTAGATTTTGAAATTTACACAAAAATTGTGAATCTGGGGGTGGATATATCGTGACTATATAAACTCTGATACACAGTAAAAAGTAAATCTTAATTTAAGAGCTGCCTTAAATTCAACACTGTCTGCTATAATGTTAAAGGATACGAAAAACGTGCGTAAATTCAACACTGACTGTCTTAAAAATGTTGCATCTTAATTTGAGGCAGCTTTCGTGCCTTAAAATAAGATTTTCTTTTTACTGTGTAATGAAAGCGTCGCTCTCTCATTTTGAAAGCAATTAACAAAGGTAATACACTTAGGGCCAGTTTTACTAACTCCGATTAAAAGTTAATCAATGATTAAATCCTTAACAGACCAATCATGGGCGGTTAAAATGACTTTAATCGTTGATTAACTTTTAATCGGAGTTGGTGAAACTGGCCTTTATATTAATATCCAGGGGCTATTGAGAAATCTTTGTTCCACCTGGAGTATATATTTTTTACACTACATTTATACACATAACACAATTAGTACAGGGGCTATTGAGAAATCTTTGTTCCACCTGTACTATAAAAACAATGTACAATTAGTTTGTCCTAATAAATAATATAATTATTAATCATTAAATAACACAGGCACAAAAAAAAAGTCAAAACCCAGAGGTCACACCCCCCTATTCCCATGTTTTTTAGGTCGCTAAAACCAAATATGATCATGAAAAATTTTTTTCATCGGCCATTTTCCCGCTACCATCCCCTTACACCTGCTCCCGGGGGTTGGAATTTCAGTTTAAAAAAAGTCGAGTAGGGTGTCTATTCCTATGTTTTTTGGGTCGCTAAAACCAAAAAAGACTACCAAAAATAAATTCTTCCCTACCTTAACCCCCTACAACCCTTTTAACACCCCTAGCGTAGGGATTGAAATTCGAATTTTCACGAAAAATCGAGTGCGGTGTCTAAACCTGCGTTTTTTGGGTCGCTGAAACCAAAAAAGACTACCAAAAACAAATTCTTCTCTCCCTTAACCTCCTACAACTCCCTTAACACTCCTTGAGTAGAGGTTGCAATTTAAATTTTGACTTAAAGTCGAGTCACCCCTGGGGGTGTTAAAGGGGTTGTAGGGGGTTGAGGGTGAAAAGGATTTGATTTTGATAGTCTTTTTTGGTTTCAGCGACCCAAAAAACGTAGGTTTAGACACCGCACTCGACTTTTCGTGAAAATTCTAATTTCAATCCCCACGCTAGGGGTGTTAAAAAGGTTATAGGGGGTTAAGGGAGGGAAGAATTTGTTTTTGGTAGTCTTTTTTGGTTTTAGCGACCCAAAAAACATAGGAATAGACACGCTACTCTACTTTTTTTTAAATTGAAATTCCAACCCCCGGGAGCAGGTGTAAGGGGGTGGTAGCGGAAAAATGGCCGATGAAAAAAAATTTTCATGGTCATATTCGGTTTCAGCGACCCCAAAAACATGGGGATAGGGGGGTGTGGCCTAAGGGTTTTGACTTTTTTATTTTTTTGTGTGCCTGTGTTATTTAACTTCATTCTTGCTCAAATCAACTGAAAAACCGATTTACTTTTATTGGCAATAGTCTATTTCATTATTTTTCATTGATTTGAACCAAAAATCGTCCTCTAAGCAGTTCTAAGCAATTCTTGAGCGATTTTGCTTGAAAACTGATTTTATACATTTGCCAGGGCATCTATAATATTTTTTAATTGAAGACAAATAATTTTTTATAACAATTTTTACTAATTATTCATAATTTTTAGCTCAATGTAATAGTACGTGACAAATCCATAGAGATGGCAGCATTAATATTGTTTCAAAATGAAAAAAGTTATTTTTTATCATTTTGAAGTCGAATTTAGAAAAAACATGAGATTTTTCGTAAAAAATGAGTGTGATTACATATTTGACAAACATTTTACATTTAAAACGAATCTGCTAAATATTGGAAAAAATATCCGTTCTTATCATCACTTGTAACAACTGCACAACAGGTAAATTTTTTACAATAAATCACTTTATTAAAAAAGTATTAGAGATGTGCAAAAAGCTCAAAATGTCGAGCCGAGCCAAGCCGAAATTTTCTTGAGCCGAGCCGAGCCAAGCCCAATCACTGCAAAAAGAGGTGTCTTGGGTGGAGACGTTTTTGGTGTCTTAGACACCAAAAATGTCTCCAATCAAGACACCTCTTTTTGCAGTGAAGCCGGCTCGATGTATCGAATACTCGATTAAATTAAAGCACTCAATTGAATTCGAGTACTCGAAGTCACTCGAGTGCTTGAGTGAAATCAAGTACTCGAAAAATTCGAGTACTCGAATGGATTCGAGCTTTTGACTTACTAAAAAAACTATTAATAAGTTGAAAATTTCGAATTTATTCGAATTACTGAATAAATAAAGTAAAGAAATCTTTAATTTCAAAGTGTATTTCTATTTGCTAAATATAATATATGCAAAAAATATATGAATTTTCTCTAAAACTCAAATTTACTCAAAAGCTCGAAAAAATTCGAGTACTCGAATTAAATTGAGTACTTGAATTCCCTCGAGTACTCGAATTAACTCGAGTACTTGAAACGTTCGAGTACTCGAAACTATTCGAGCTTTGTACACAGCTCGGCTCGAACTCGAACTGATTAGGCTCGGCTCGGCTCGGCTCGAAAAATGAAAAGCTCGAAAAAGCTCGATCGAGTAGCCTCAAGCTTTTTGCACAACTCTAAAAAGTATACACTAAATATGGACAACCAAGGCAGTTTTTTGAAGCTTAATCCTCATAGAATTGATATTCAAAAATTTACTTTGTTAAGTATAAAGATCTATTAATTATTTAAAAAATACCAAACAGAGAAATATTTACTTTTAGCCTCTAAAATCCAATGTCCCTACTTTTTACTTGTAAAGCTTGCATATAATTTTTAAACATATTGCAGCAAGTTCGTACATAAAAACTAAACATTTTTCCCTTTTGAACTCCATCTCTATAATTCACTGTTTCTGAGATATTCCATTTGTAACAACTGCACAGCGTAACAACCGCACCTATTCTCCCCTACTTAATATTTTGATTTTTACTTTTGTCATGTATTATTGGGTGAAATATCCATTAA